CAGCTGGTAGTTTGTGTTTCCTTCCTGATGGTGGCAGTAACACAGCTGGACCATGAACTTTATGCTGACAAACATCCCGTTTAACAAACTTTTTCTTTTTGGTTTCCAAACAAAGTGAAGAATCCAGTTTTCTACGTATTGCCTCCATTTCATTTGGTCCAGATTTATTTTAAAGCTTTCGAGCTTCGATATGAAGAAGTGAACTTAGAAACTTTGGCAAAGTTTTTATTTCAGCTGCAGGTAGATCTCTTTATATTTCAGCCTCCCAGAGTTTAAATCTGGTCTCCGAGGCGACGTTTCTTCTCTGCAGTGATGCATTTTACATGAAGCAGCAATAGTTGGTTCACCAGAGCTGAAGAAAAGCAGCAACAGGACGTGTGTTGGACTCTATAGAGAATCAGACTGAACTCCTGAACCTGAGTTTGCCAAAAAGTAAGTCATATGTTTTATTTTAATAAAATGTAAACACATCTAACTTTTTGTTTTCTGAGCCAAAACAGTGAAAATGTGTTTGTTACATAAATAAATCGTGTTTCCCTCAAGTTGTAAATGAAAATGCAGTTTAGTTTTTAGGAGCCCGGTCTGGATATGATGGTGACCAAAGACAAGAACAAGACCAACATTTCCTCTTTTAAACTAACAAACAAAATAATTAGAAATCGGCTGATTGATATATTTTTTTCTCCTCTTTCTGTTTTAAACCAACAACAAACAACAAAGTGGGCGAGTTTCTCTGTTTTTCCAGCGGCCGTTACCGTTTAAAATGAAGTGATGAACGGCTTGGTTTTGGTTTGGAGGGCTTCCTTTGTTTTGTTTTTGTTTCAAACAAAAAATGTTGAAACTTGGCTCATTTTATTTTATTTTTCAAATATGTTCCCAAAAATTGCAAAACTAAACCCATTATTCATTTCCAATTTTATACCAACAACTAAAAACAAACAAACAAAAAAACCCAGAGAGAAGAAGTTACATTTTTTTCAATTAAAAAGCCCAAATTTTCCATTTATACCAAATATGAAAATAAGAAAGCTGGCTCATCTTTACATTTTTTTTGCATTTTAAACCAAACAAAGAGAACAAGCACATTTATCGTTTGTGCTTTTTAAACCAAAGAAGGGAAAACTGTGCCCATTGTTGTTTTTGTTGTTGTTTTTCTATTTTAAACCAAGAAACAAACAACAAAGGGAGAAAACTGGTGACATTTTTTTGTTATTCTAGTTTAAACCACAAACCAGAAAGTTGAAAATTGGCCTAATTTTATTTGATTTTTTGAAGATGTTCCCACAAATTGCAAAACTGAACCCGTTGTTCATTTTCAATTTCATACCAACAACTAAAAACAAACAAACAAAAACCCCAAAATACTAAATATGAAAACAAGAAAATTGGCTCATCTTTACATTTTTGCATTTTAAACCAAACAAAGAGAACAAGCACATTAATCATTTATTCTTTTTGAACCAATAAACAAAGAACAGAAAACTGTGCCCATTGTTGTTGTTTTTCTATTTCAAACCAAGAAACAAACACAAAAATGAATAAAACTGGTACTTTTTTTTTTTGGTTGTTCTATTTTAAATCACAAACCAAAAAGGTGACAATTACCCCAATTTCCATTTTCCCAAAGTCCAGTCACCTTAAAAATCAACTGTTGACACGTAGTCTTTGGTTTGGTTCAATCCCGTCCAAGCAGTTTCCATTTCAAACCAAGAACTGACCGTTTTTCTCTCAGAAAAATGGACGATCCTTTACTTTTTAGTGTAGTGGAGACATCGTATGTTATAACACACTGACGGCGCCGGTCTGGGTTTCCTACATTCACTGTTCCTGCTGCTGATTCTGAGCTTCAGTCCGTTTGGGGAACAAACCCAGTGAGCAGAAAAGCCCGAAGCGTCAACACTCGCCGTATTTTTCACGTCAGCGAGTGTGAATGGGACGAAGTAAACAAACGGCGCCGCCACTCTTTTCACGGCGCTGCTGGACCGGCGGCCTCCAACACGTCGGCGCTGAGCGGCGTGAAGGAGAAAAGGTCCGTCCATAGGCTGGAACATGGATTCAGGGGAAGTTCTCACAATAACACTCCAACGTAACACAAAGAAACACAAAAGCTGCCGCCCGGGCTGTTGGTTGTGGTTCGCGGCCGCTTGTCGAACACAAAGACGCTTTTGTCGTGGTGGTTTGAAGCCCAGTGAATCGTACATGTGGCAGATGGCTGTTATTCCACAACATCACATCATGGAAGGGCTTGTTATCGTGCAACAAAAATATTGTCTGTTCTCAAATAAAAGCTTGTTTTTTTTGAGTTGTTTAGTTGATTGTGAGTCCTAATCCAACACCACTGTTCTGATGATACTTAAAGGATGTTTAAATCAATCCAGGGCGTTTGTTTGACATGTGAGTAACTCTGAGGAGGTTAATGGTCGATTCCTAGTTCATGTGTACGATGATTCAAACAGGAACATCAGCACAAGACAAAAGTCTACTCTGGTTATTTTGTGTTATCAGTTCATTAGCAATTGACTGATAATGCTGCCAATTATTGATCAAGAAAGTTATGTAAACTTAGCATCACTGTTATTATATTTGAAAGAAAATATTCTAATAAAAACTACTAATTGACACGTTGACTGTAAAACAACGAGGCCCAGACGAAAACATTTCCACAGCAGAAACCCTCATTCATTCTTCTACAGTGTGGCCACGGAATTCCTCACTTTCACTGTGTTTAAATCAGCTGAAAGTGTCATTATTTCTCAGATATTTGCTGTTATTTTTACTGGTTTTCCATTTCTGAACATTACAGTATTCCATTTTTTTAACCTGATTTTTTTCTGGAACTCTTGCTGCTGATTTCACCAACTTTTCTTTTTTTTTTGTGTGCAAACATCTGAACTGCGTTGTCATTTACATTTCACAAGAAATGCAATTTCATTCAAGTTTTCAGGAGTCATCGTTGTTCGACTTAAGTTTCATTCAGTTGGCTGTTTGTTTAAGTTTAAAAAAATATCACGGTTTGGGTTAAAATACGACTTTTTTTTTATTGCATGTGACGCTCCATTTTCCAGGTCAGCCTCTCTAATATATGACTGATGCAATTAAATAAACAGCATTTGACACATACTTCTGATAAATCACAAACTATCACAATTAGCAGGAGCTAAATTTCCCCAAAGCGTAGTTAATAATATAGTTTAGTTGGACTGTGAGCTGTCACGCTTCACTAAACCCTCCTCGTATTGATGCTTTAACTCGTGTCGTTTGTTTTTTTAGTTTCATTCCAACTCTTTCCAAACTCGACGCTTGTCTCCGTTGAAGCTTTCAGGTTCATGTCTTCAGTTCCTGATTGTGTTCTGGGATATAACGACAGGTTACAGGGGCCAATGAGTGCCTTTCTCTGTTTCTGCTGAGACCTTTTCCTGGTTTCCCCCTGAGCTCAGATTCCTAAACGACATTTGGAAATAATTTTGATGGCTGTTGAGACGCGGCCTCAGATATGTGTTCGTGCTGCTTCTGTAAAATAAACAAAATCAAAGCAGTTCTGGGATGTCAGACGTCTTTCAGACATGAACATAAAACACCGTCTGAAGGGGGAATATGAATGTGTAGATGGACAGAAAACAGCAGAACCAGCTCATTTTGTTCTGCTGCTGATCCAACGTCTTCAATAACCTTCATAAAAACTTCTATCTGCTTCTGACGGCACCAGTTAGAGCCTGGTTACACATTAATGAGGCGGTTTTCATCACACTCAGGTGAATTTTTGGAAACACAACAAGTTGATGCACGTTTAGCGTTTCATCGAACTTGTTCGTTTGTTTTGGACGTTTAAACCTTTTGCTGATCAGATCTGCTGCATGTTTCAACACTCAGGTTCAGATAATACCGTCTTCAAGGTGTTTCATTCAGTTTGCATTTCCTAACATGAAGAATTTCATCTAGTTATTATATTTAATCTAAACCTCAACTTTTTTTGTGCTTTCTTAAACATGTATGGCACTGCCTACTGTCGTCGACACCTGTGACATACTCCTGAAATTATTTTCAAAACAACTCAAAATTAGTCTTTATGGTGCATTTTTCAATTTTGTACTTTTTTAGTCACAATATGTTTTTTTTTTATTACTCTGTGTGTTTTGTACCTTGGCATATTTGTCTATTATATTTTATACTTCTGTTATATTTTATGCACTTGGGGATCGATGAAGTCTTTCTATTCTGATCTATAAAATCACTGAAAATTTGTTATAAAAACTACTTACAATCTTTACAAAATGGCTCAAACTGTTCAAAATTACTCAGAATTGACTCAAAATGACTTCTGAATTCGTCTTAATTACAACTTTTCCTAAATCTCCTCCAAATTTAAAGAAAATGTGTTTAAAATGCCTGAAAATTTGTCAAATATGACAAAAACGTCGCCGAAACGACTCAAATTTGTTGCAAAAGGCATAAAAATTGTCAGAAATAATTGAGTCCTGCAGACAGAAGACATCTCTGAGTTCTTTCTCCTCCTTCGTCTGTTTCCGTCGAGCTGCAGGACTTCATGTTGCAGAGAAGTGAACCTGTACTTTGCAAGGTTATAAGATGTTAGCAGTTGTTTGGGGGCTCGTCCGGGATCACAAACCTGCTCCTGCTTTTTTTTCTTAAAGAGCACAAACTGACCTTGGCTGGATTACACATTGAATCATTATCATCATTAGAGGCCTTCTGGAAGGTTGTTTAAGCAAATGAAACCATGACATTACCAGAACGCAGCGTTAGCAAACCAGAAGCACCGTCACTTCCACCAACTTTAACCCATAATAACCACTGTTCCCTCCATTTTCTACCCTTGTTTCCTTCCTTTCTACTCCCTCAGGGCATCAGCAGCTTGTTCAGTTCCCTGAAGGTGGTCCGGCTGCTGCGTCTCGGCCGGGTGGCCAGAAAACTGGACCACTACCTGGAGTACGGCGCCGCTGTTCTGGTTCTGCTGGTCTGCGTGTTCGGACTGGTGGCCCACTGGCTCGCCTGCATCTGGTACGCTCAGCTTTTACCTTCAGAAACCATCCAAACCAAACCTGCCGTACGATATCCACACCAACAGGAAACAGCTGAGCCATGTTGTCTGGAGTCTGATGGGGTTCTAGGACTTCCAATGAGAACCCCGTGAAGCTCCAGATGTTCTCATGGAGACGAGCGAACGGTGCAAACAGTTCGGTGCCTTCGGGGCTAAAACAGGAACAACACGAGCTCCGAACTCCGTTCCTCCTCCGTCTGTTCTTACCAATGATTAATGGTTATAATAACCATAATTACGGTTTCGCTGAAGCAGCCGATTGAATGTTCTCACCAGCAAATGAAGGGAAACTGGAATTCTGTTAAACCCAGACGTTTGAGGGAGTTTACGTTGAGAGGTTTCTACGTAAATAACATAGAGATTAAGACAGTTAAAGGACTTTTAAAGAGGAGTTTTTCCCTCTGTTGACTAGTTTTCTCATTTTATTTATGCAGCCAGTTCTCGTTTAACTCTGGTCGTTTAAGTCTAGTTTGAAGCAAGTTTTTCCAGTTTAAACCAACCTCAGGAGGAGGTCTGAGGAGTGAAAGTGGCAGAAGTTGCAGGACTTTAACCCAGAAGTTTGAATTTGTTTTTATTTTCTGACTCATTTTGACTCATTGTTTGGTTACGTTTGAGGGGAAAACGAATAATTTGGGTTAAAACTCAGCTTTTCACATTAAAAACATTATACAAGGCAAATGTGTAATGCTGAATTATTGAGCTACTGACAGATTATTAATTTGAGATAAATAAAAGTAAGAATAAAGATCAGATTAACCAGATTCCCATGACTGGAGGACTTTATCAGTATTGATTATTAGACTGTTCTGTAGTTATTCTTGCAGATTAATCTGTCCGTTATTTTCTCAGTTAGTCTAGACATTTTAAGAAAATAGTGAAAAATCATGATCAGCTTCCCAAAACCCAAGATGATGAATGTCCTGTTCTGTCCAACGTTACCCAGTTTATTGTCACAGAGGAAGAAAGAAACCAGAAAATATCCACATTTAAGGAACTGAAATCACAAAATTTAGACATTTTTTCTTAAATAGTTATGATCATCAAACTAGTTGGTGGTTAATTTAACAGCTGACAACTAATCAATGGATCATTACGGCTCAAATGAATAAATTCATGTAATTTCAAGGAGACACAGTCTGAGTCTGGTTCTTCAAACTGAAAACTTCCTGAACATGTTTAGATTCTGATAAAATTACACCTAGCAAGTTTAAATATTCAGTTTAAGACCCTGTGGTGTTATTTACGGGGTGATTTTAGCTAAATAATTTACATATTAGGGATTAAAACCCTACAAAAATGTAATGAAGTAGTTGAGACTCTTAACTAAAGCCAATATTAAGCTAACACTCAAGGCATGTGATAATTATTCAGGTTATTATGACAAAAATATACGTAAAAACCCAACAAATCTGAAGTTTTCCTTTTTTCTTATTTGTATTTTATGTCACATGTTTTGTGTAGTCGTGGTAAAAAACGTGAGTGCCAGTAAACTGGGACCAGTGGGAAGTTCCTAATCTGCTGGAAACAAACAGACTGGGAATAAAAAGCAGTGATTCCTTTCTACTGCGGGTGGATGACTGAAGCTCGTTCCACTGGTATTCAGCTCTAGATCAGACGTTTGCTGTGACCCCGGTAACACTCTTGGTTTGGTCCCGTCAGGTACAGCATCGGAGACTACGAGGTGATCGACGAGGCCACCAACACCATCAAGATGGACAGCTGGCTGTACCAGCTGGCCATCAGCATTGGCTCACCGTACCGCTACAATGCCAGCGGCTCCGGCCAATGGGAGGGCGGCCCCGGTAAAGACTCGCTGTACATCACCTCGCTGTACTTCACCATGACCAGCCTGACCACCATCGGCTTCGGAAACATCGCCCCGAGCACCGACGGCGAGAAGATCTTCTCCGTGGCCATGATGATGGTCGGATGTAAGTAGTCTGAGTCTGCTGCTGTGGTTTCGGTCGTTTTGGGGTGAAACGGCTCCTTTACTGCTGTTGGAATGTGATTTATAGAAATGCTGCTGCTGGTTGAGTTTTTATTCGTGTTGACATCTGAAACCATGTGATCTGTCAGTACTGGCTGGTTGTAGGTATTTTAGCTGAAGGTTGGATGGGGCCATCGGTTGGTCAGGCCAATACATGTCAGTAAATGCGTTGTAGATCAGCTGTAGTACCTGGTTGTTCCACTTGGTGAAGCCTCTCACTGAGATGGAGTTCCAGGTGTGTCTGCTGACCTCCCTGCTGTCGAACTGCCAACTGTGGTCGTCATGTTGATCAACTCTGCAGGATCATGGTATAGAAAGATGTCTGGTGGTTGTCTGGTTAAGGTACCTGGGAGTCATGCTAACAATGCTAAGTTAGGATGCTCTGAGGGAATCCTGCTGCTGCTGGTGTTGGAATTTATATTCGTGTTGACATCTGAATGTGATGACCAGTGCTGGCTGGTTGTTGGTATTTTAACTCAAGGTTGGATGTCAGTCCAAGGCCTGTACATGTCAGAAAAGATGTTGTAGATCAGCTGTTGTACCACCAGGTGGCGCCTCTCACTGAGATGGAGTTCCAGGTGTGTCTGCTGACCTCCCTGCTGTCTAACTGCTGTCTATCAACTCTGCAGTATCAGGTTATAGAAAGTTGTCTGGTGGTTGTGTGATTAAGTTAGCTAGCTATGTGACACATGCTAACGAAGCTAAGCTAAGATGCTCTAAGGGAATGCTGCTGCTGCTGCTGGAATTTCATTATGTGCTGACATTTTAAGCAGCGTGATGTGTGAGACGTAAACAATTTTAGCTTATACTGGACAAATTTTAAATCACTTTGGGAAACTTTTGAATTGCTGAACAATTTTAGCTCGTTTTGAACGGTTTTTGTGTCATTTCGCACAAGTTTCTCACTATTTTGAATGCATTTTTGTTATTGTCTGTATCATTTAATACAACTTAAGCATTTTTTTTTTTCCTGAACCAACCTATTTTAGAAAAATTGCGTGTCAATCTGCAACAAGAAGCTGTAAAACGGCGTCTTGTTTAGTTAGCTAGCTTCTTCAGTTTGAGCCAGTTGCAAATCACTTCTTCAGTCACTGAGCAAATAGAGCTTATTTTGAACAGGTTTTTGTCATTTTGAAAATATTTTTTAGTCCCTTTGAACCATTTTCAAGGCATTCAGGACAGGTTTCTGTAATTTTGGACACATTTAGAATGATTTTTTATTATTTTCAACATTTTTTAAATCATTTAAGATGGTTCTAACATATCTTTGTCTGAACTCCAGTATTTTAGCTAACTACCTGAGGTTCATGCTAAAAATGGTAAGCTAGGATTTTCTTGTCTATCAACGCTGCTCTGAAGGAATCCTTCTACTGCTACTGGTGGACATTTTGTCATTTTGGACAACTTGTGAATCATGTTGGACAGTTTTCCAGCCACTTGTAGACATTTTGGGTACATTTCTGTAATTGTTCATCCTCTTTAAACACCGTCTGCACAAATTTGAAGTTACTTTGGACAATTTCACCAATTCCTTTCCCGAATTCAGCTACTTTGGACACATTTTAAGTTGTAAAAACTTCCCAAGTGGCTGTCCGGTTGAGTCGGCTACCTGACTCTCGAGCTAATTATGCTAAGCTAAGATTTTTTTGTCTGGAGCTGAAGAAATCCTGCTGCTGAAGTTTTTGTCATTTAGACAAATTCTGAGTCATGTTGGACAGTTTTCCAGTCACTTATGGAAAACTTTCCGGTTGAGTCGGCTACCTGACTCTCGTGCTAATTATGCTAAGCTAGTATTTTTAAACGCTAATGAGCTAAGAGTCGGTGGAAGACACTGCTAACATTCAGGAGCAGCAAGACTCGGATTATAACAACAGTCAAGTGTTAAAGTGTGTCGATAATGTGCGATACTCATGGGTAAACCACGAACCCTTCATCTGTATTTATTCTGTATCATAACTGCAGCAAAAACATCTGCAATATGTTCTTTTTGCAAAGTTTGAGGCCACAGGGGGGAAGTTTCACCGCTCTAATTTACTCGTCTGCTGTTTAAACTTATTTCCAATCACAGCTCCTCGTCTACATTCCTGCACTCGGAAGCCTCATATGAGCCGAGTTTCCCCGTGGAGCTATAATAATGGAGGACGCTAACGGGGAGATTTGTGTTCTTTAACGCCGTTAGCAGCCGCTCGGCGGGAGGCGGCGATGAAACGGGAGATGAGTGAACTGGATAATAGACCTCGGCACACATGATGAACGGCTCTCTGGGCTCCCGGTGCTTAATCTGAGGAATCATCTGAACAAATGACACACAGATGAGATATTTATGGCCGATGAGAAGAGAAGAGAAACTCATCTGGTGTGGATTTTTTTTTTTACAGAGAAGTCTTTATAGCGCCTGAACAATGTTTGCATCTGGCTTCATTACGTTTCTTGTTCCTTTTGTTTCCTCCACCAAGCTGCCAAACCTTAACTGTAATTCAAACACAAGCTTAGTTGCCGTCGATTGTTCAGCGGTTTGCGGCGTTTGAAACGTCCCTGCTCTCGACAGATATGTCCGGCCAGTGCAGCTAAATGATGCTGCAGCTTCGTTAACGGACGCACAACATCGTGAAAGTAAAGAGAAGCTCGTCTGTGGGACGTTAGAGCAGATTTTCTCGTTTAGTTTTGGCAAAATCCCGTTTGTTCTTTACCCCTCAGACTCTAACAGAGACGCCTCTTCTCGGTTTAGTTACTTTCGGAGTACGTGTCGCAGTAACACGTCGCACACTTTAAATGAAACGACGCCAATCGACCGCCAAGATGATGCCAGATGCTTGTCGGCACCGCAAACGCTCACTGAGAAAAATAACTTTGAAATTTAAGCGTAGTTTTGACCCGCACAGAGTTATGCATGAAGTCGCTCTGGTCTGAATGACTCATGAGCTCTCTGCAATCATTTCATCAGATATTAATGTCTGCCTTTAATATTAATACATCACTAGAATGAGCAGAGAAAAGAAAAACAAAGCTGCTCAGAGGGGATCTGTCGGGTTTTCATTTTTGTATGTTAATCTCCACAGTTAATAAAGTTTTAGAGTCCTTCAATTAAAGAACTCGAGTTAATTGCATTAGTTATTCTATTTTCTAGTCAGCTAATTTTATTTAGTTTTTGCAGGGTTTGAATCCTAACATATTAACTCCCACCATCAATACCACCACAAGGGCCTTAACCTGAATATTTACTCGTTAGTTTAATTTATTTAATGTATTAATTGTCTGTTTTACTGGGAAGCATTTTGCTTTTGTTGTAAATGTTCTGTCTTAAAAAACTTCCACGTTTGTTCAATCCAGAGTAATCAAGTTATGAAGACAGACCAGATGTCTGAAAGTTAAAATCTTTACTAATTTATTCGCCTTCTTTTTTTAAAACTCCTGCTTCTCACCTTAATAACTCACAAAGCCCACGTTGTCTCATATCTTACTATATATTAAAATAAACAGCAGAACCCACACTGTCCGATGATACCAGGTGTTTTTCTGGACTACGAAGCGTTGTTGGGTAAACCTGCTGAGAAAAACAGCAAAACTTCTGCATCGTCTCCAACGAGCTTCTGACATTTTGTGTGAAAAATAAACACAAAATCATCGGATTTCCTCCATTTTTCCTCCAGTTTCTGAGTCATACAGTTTCTTACCATCATGGTTCTTATATTTCCTGATTTCAGACAATCTCCTCCACAAGATCATGTAAAGAAATCTGTGCAGTTTATGGTGAGGTACATGTAGAAAAACGACAATTTCATCGCAGGAAATGTGTTTTTTCTTTAATATAAAAGCCAATATCGAAAATCTCCTGGTATTGTCATATTAAACAATATAAAATGTGAAGAGCTGAGACTGTCCTTAAAAAAAAAGAGATACAGCATGTTTAGCTAACACTTAAAAAAATCCCCTCAAGACGCCCTCGAGCTCCAACACATAGCTCACCACTGTGCTCCTGTTATATTGTACATACAGGAACTGTGGCGTTAATACAGGAAGCGTCTTTATTTTTATTTTATCTGGTGTTATTTAAATGAAATCAGAGGTCTGTGTGAGGATTGATTTTTGGATGTGAAGCTACAGATGGTAGAAACTCTCAGAAGCTTCCAGCGGAGGGAAAAAAAATTAATTTAATTTGAATATTTGTGGGTTTTGAACAATCAGCTTTGGGCCGGTGACTTAGAATCAGGTTCTCGAGGCTCTCGGTTCCTTTCTCAGGGAACGTTTTGTGTGTTTTGTCGACGCCGCCGAGGCCTGATGGGGTTTGTGTGACTAAAAATTCAACATCCTGCAGGAGGAGCGACTCTCAGGTCATCCATTATTAAACCCATCGCTCCATCCGCCTGGATGCTGCTGTTCTTTTTCCTTTTTTTTCCTTTTTGCTATCGAGTTTTTCCCCGGAGGCTTCGTTAGAGGAACAACTGGCAGAACGGTTCGGTATTAAAGAGCTGCTTGTAGCTTGAACTTTCACTGGATTCATGCAGAGGTTTTAATAATTACATGCTTTTATTAAGAAACAGATCATTTTCATTCCTGCAGTGTTTCCGAAAGGTTTTTTTTTTTTTACTGTAAATATATACCGATTCTTCCTTTTTTTAAAATGAAATTGCAGAAAATTTTACATTAAATTATAAAACACAAAAAATGTTTGTGAAATATATAAAATATACTAAAATACAGATATTATGTGTAGACATAAGTTAGAGTTTTTTTTTTTATTGCAAATGTAATTTCACAAACTTTTTGGTATTTTAACATAATTTAACACATAAAAACAACAAATAAAAAGAATCAAAAGAGTTCTTGCACTTTTTTAAATATATTTTTTAAAATATTATGGTTTCTGAAGTTTCTGATGCCGAACTGAAACCTCAACCTTCAGCAGATCAGTGATCAGACGATGGACATCTGCTTTATCTCAAA